CTACAGCTGGCATGAATCCAGGCTCTCTGCTTTTGCTTATGGATTCGGACTCCTTGGTGTTCTTTGGGGGACCCTGGAATCTAGGCATGACAAACAGATGCAGTCAATATATGATGCGGCTGTTCTTCCTTCCCCAGTCACTAGAAATGGAAACAGACTGGGTTCAAAGAATGGAATGAAGGGAATTTGAGATGTGGGCTTGTACAGGCTGGTTTGTTGTGTCAACTTGACACAAGTTAGAGTCATGAGAGGAAGGAGCCTCAGTTGAGGAAATGCTTCCAATGAGATCCAGCTGAAAGGCATTTTCTCAATTAGTGATCAATGGGGGAGGGCTCAGCCCAACGGGGGATGGCGCCATCCCTGGGCTACTGGTCCTCAATTCTATATGAAGGTAGGCTGAACAAGCCCAGTGAAGCAAGCCAGTCATCAGGCTGCCCTGTTTTGATTTCCTGTGCTGACTTCCTTCAGTGATGAACAGTAATGCTGAAGTGTAAGTCAAATAAACCTTTTTCCTCCCCAGCTTGCTCTTTGGTCATGGTGTTTTGTTGCAGCAAGAGAAACCCTAACTAAGGCAGGGGTCAAATCAGATTATAAATTTAGTTCCAGACACCGGAATCTTTCTGTTTAACCCACAAGAACTGGACACTACAAGTGCTCCATTTCTGGGATGCCCACCCCAATTTCTGCAACATATGGGCTGGAAGACAGGATGGTGTCTGTCTGCTCTCCAGATGTCATTAGCGAGACCCAACCTGCGGTGCATCATCCCAGAAGAGGGGGAATACAGGTCGAGAGGGTGTCATTATTTTACATTGAAGCCATTCACTCTGGGAAGACAGAAAGAAAGACTGACAGCTACACTGCTGAGCTTAGGCTTGAAGGGATCTATGATCACAGACTTCCAAATCAGTGTCCTCCTCCCTGCGAAGGCTCCTAGGTCAAATTTGTGAAGAACTTCCTGTCCTGTGAAACCTGAAGAAGCTGCGGCAGCACCCTTCTGACCTGAGACATCAGACCCTAGAGATGTACCCTGCCTCCGTGGAGATCTATGATAACATTGGTGACGTCCTGCCAGACAGACCTGCCACATTGTTCTAAGTTCATGGAAATACTCGCGGCTATAAGGCAGCCCAAGCTGATTTACTTTGTTGGTAAGAGGTGTCTGGATTTTCATGGATTCTGTGTCTACAACCTGAAGTTCAAACCATGCTCCTGTTTGCAATCAATAATGAGAGGCCACAGCTGGGCTCTGAAAAATGAAAGCCGGGATGCAAGGGACTCATTGGAGACACAGAACATGTGTACTCAAGGGATTTTGGATGCACTTGGGAAACAAGACTGCTCCATTAGTTCAGATTAGAGGGAGTGAAGCTTCGACATGGAGAACCAGGGGCTCATTTTCTAATGAAGGTCAACAGGGCAGACCCAACCTCGGACAGGAAGAGAGACTGGAAAATGGTAGGGATTTCATCCCAGCACAATCAGTGTCTGAGAGACCATAGACACAGGGAAGGGGATAGAGAGAGAGGATATTACAAGGAGCATAATGGACTGGATGAGGCAGGCTCCATGCCTCTGTCTTGGTTTGGCCTCTGCCTTTTGGTTGTCCATCTTACATAAAGATTTGTAATTTATGGATACATGTTTCTTTCTTGAACGGTAAGTTGTTTGAACTATGAACTGGTGTTGGGCATACAACATTCTCACTGTTGAGCTGTGATCTGTCTTTTTCTTGCTTTGGAAGGCTTGAGGAGCTGGATATTATTTCCCCCACCACCCTGAGCATTACACTTTTCCATAGGTTTCAGAAAACCCTTTTGCATGAGAGGGCATTGTATTCTTTTAATTTACTGAGGCGCTTTCATTGACAATTTCATAGTTGTTCATCACGCTTACCGTGTTTGCATATTCTCGTGCCCCCCTTGTTTCTACACCTTCTGCATCCTAGAACTTTCAGAGTGAACAATGACCCAAAATTCCTTCTTCTTGGGCATTTTATACACTTCAGCTTCTTGAAACCCCAGTCAAAGAGCTAGAGAGACATTCTCTTGGAGGGATGGCTCAGAGGTTAACAGGGCTTTCTGTTCTTTCTGGGGACCAGCGTTTGATTTCAGCACCCTGAAACTCTTGGAACAGTTCCAGATTATCTGACACCACCCTTTCTTTTTCTGTTCTCTGGGAGCACTTGCTGTCTTCTACATCTACACACACACCACACATGTTTTCTGGATATGCCTTTGATTTATTATCATTGAGTGTGTATGTGAGTCTGTATGTAGGCCCCTCTGTCGTATTGTAACAATGAACAACTATGAAAGTGTCAATGAAATGTGCTGCTTGTCATGGCGTTGGCTGGCAGTGTCTCTCTGCCTCAGCCTTCCACTTCCCAGAATTCTCTTCTCTGCTTGTTCCACCTATATTTCCTGCCTGGCTACTGGAAAAGCAGAGATGGATTCAGGAGAAGTTAGATGGAAGGGTGAATTCCATCAAAATACAATGTGTGGAATTCACAAAGAATTAATAAAAATAGCATTTAAAAATAGTCTGACAACAAATGTTGGGGAGGTTGTAGGGAAAGGGAACCTTTGTTCACTGCTGGAGTGCAAATTAATGCAGCCATTATGGAAATCAGCTTGGAGGTTCCTCAAAAAATTAACTGTAGAACTACCCTATGACCCAGCCATTGCACTCCTGGGCATTTGTCAAAGATCTTGATACTCCATCACAAAAATATTTGCACATTTATATTTATTGTTGTACTATTCATAGAGCAAGGAAATAGAATCAAAATAGATGTCCATCAACAGATGGAAGGGTAATGCAAATGTGGTATATTTACATACTGGAATATTCAGCAGTTAAAAAAATGAAATTGTGAGATGTTTTCAGGAAAATAGATAGACCTGGAGAGTATAATATTATACAAGGTGATCCAACCCAAAACACATGTTCTCTGTCATATTTCAATCATAGCCTTCTGTGGGTTGATCCTTCTGTACACTGTGAAGATTTGTCACTGTGATTGGTTTAATAAACAAGCTCTTCAGTCAATAGCCAGGCAGAATAAGGTTAGGTAGAAAAAACAAACTAAGGAGGGGAAGAAGGCAGAGTCAGAGTCTCCAGCCAGATGCAGAGAAAGCAAGATGAGAATGTCACACAGAGAAAAGGTACTAAGCCATGTGGCTAAACATAGATAAGAATTATGGGTTAATTTAAGTGTAATAGCTGGTCAGTAATAAGCCTGAGCTACTGGCTGAGCATTTATAATTAATATAAGCCTCTGAGTGATTATTTGGAAGTGGCTGTGGGAAGGGGCAGGACAGAGAAAAGCTTCCATTTATAATAACCTATAATGTATTTGTGTGCATATGTAACAGGAGTCAGTATATATAGTCTAAAATTTAAAAAGGAGATTGAGAGAATAATATTAGGTGATAAGGAAGGATGAAATAAAGGCCAAAGGACACATGCATGAGTCATGAGCGAGAATCATTCTTTTTTTTTCTTTTTAGTTTCAGCTCTGTCACAGTTGTTTTTCATGGTGGATATATAAATTCAGTTGTGTTCTGAGTAGCATTTTGCATTCCAAAAGAATAAAATTTTTTAAAAATTTATTTATGGCCAGGCAGTGGTGGTGCATGCCTTTAATCCCAGCACTCAGGAGGCAGAGGCAGGAGGATCTCTGAGTTCAAAGCCAGTCTGGTCTACAGAGTGAGTTCCAGGATAGCCAGGGCTACACAGAGAAATCCTCTCAGAAAAAAAATTATGTATATGAGTGTGTGTATATGTGTGCATTATGTGTGTCTGTGTATGCATACATGCATGTGTGTGTGTGTGTGTGTGTGTGTGTGTGTGTGTGTGTGCATATCTCTCTGTGTGTGGAGGTTCCCTAGGGAACCAAAAGAGGATCTCTCTCTTCCCAGGTGACTCTAGCCTGTGTCAGGTTGACAAGCACTAACTCTGTTCCACATCCCCTCCTCTGTCACATTAGTCAGGCTCACAACTGCTGTGGGATGTTCTGTATGTCAAATATGTTGCTATGATTGGTTAGTAAATAAAAAAAAATGGCCAGTAGTCAGGCAGGAGGAAGTATAGGCGGGACAAGGAGGAGAAGAATTCTGGGAAGTGGAAGGCTGAGTCAGAGACACTGCCAGACACCGCCAAGACAAACAGCATATGAAGATGCCAGTAAGCCACAAGCCACGTGGCAAGGTATAGATTTATAGAATGGATTAATTTAAGATATAAGAACAGTTAGCAAGAAGCCTGGTACGGCCATACAGTTTGTAAGCAATATAAGTCTCTGTGTTTACTTGGTTGAGTCTGAGCGGCTGTGGGACTGGTGGGTGAGAGAGATTTGTCCTGACTGTGGACCAGGCAGGAAAACTCTAGCTACATACAACCCAATTCACTCCATCCCCCAAAGCAAGAAACTTGGATTTTGGCAAATAAACAAGTTTATTGTTTAAAAAAAATCAATGTTACATTTTATATACAGAAAAACATAAAGAGTCTCAGAAAGTTTTAAAAGGCACTTATTCTGAATGTCTCTCATTCTCTGAGGCAGGTGCCAGTCTCCCTAAGATTGGGGGAGTTTCCCTCATGGGGGGGGAAAAACCCACATTCTTGCTCCTGGACATTCCCACCTATGCCACTGCCCACTGCCATTCTAACCTGACAAAGGCCCAGACCCCCAGTTCCCTTCTATCCAGCAGAGAGTAAGAGCACAACCCCGCCCCAGGCGCTCAGCATGATAGTGACCTTCTGTGACACCTTGTGTGGAATCTGTCTGCAGACTCATGCATGGGCAGCTGGGCGGCAGCTGGTGGTCTTGGGAGAACTGTCCTGAAGAAGCTGACGTCACGGATGCATTAATCCCCTGCTGACTTTATAATATGAGAGCATTCTCAGAGGTGACAGGTCAGCCTTCGCTGGAGAAAGCAGGTCCCCAAGAGTGTGCCTGTAGAGGACATGCTTGTCTCTTGCCCCTTCACTGCCTCTTCTTCTTTTTTTTTTTTTTTTTTTTTTTGGTTTTTCGAGACAGGGTTTCTCTGTGTAGCTTTGCGCCTCTCCTGGTATCCCACTTCTGGGTCACTATGCTCACACCATGACATTCTGCCTCAATTCTGGCCCACAAACAACACAGTCAAGTGACCTTGGGCTAAAATGACCCATGAGTCAAAATAAATCCTTCCTCCTTCGGTGTTTGTCAGGGTGACTCAGAAGTCCAACGGTCTCTGGGGACTCAGGCTCCTCACGCAGGCACGGGTGGGCAGGAGAGGCCCTGGTAACTCCTGGAGTCCACTCACCCGGCTCTCCCACGTGAACAGTCTGTTCACAGGAAGAGTCAACTGGACCAGACCCCCCAGAGACACTGAGGGAAACAACTTGGGTGTTCTCACTCCCAGCTAACCTAGTCCTTACCTTTTTCATTCACAAGGCTTTTTTTGAAACAGGATCTCATCTATCCAGGCTGGTTTGACCTTGCTATGTAGCCAAGGATAGCCTTGAATTCCCGGTCCTCCCGCCTCCACCTCCTAGGATTACAGGTGTATAGCATCACGCCCAGTTTATGTGGCAGTGGGAATGGAACCCAGGGCTTTTTGCATGTTAGGCAAGTGTTCTATCAGTTGAGCATAATGCATCATAACCAGCCCTCTGTGAGGCACAGCCAGAGACCACACACACACACACACACACACACACACACACACACACACACACACATACACACACTCGGTGTACACCTGTACTCTCGGTGCCAACTCCCAGCTGTTCATGAACTCAACAGTGCTTGGCAAATACAGATTATTTGCCACTCGACAGAAAGGGACAGAAAAGACACACGGACTTCCTTGAAAACACCAGCCACTGAAGCAACACGGAGCTTTAACAAAGCTCACCCTTGGAGGACAAAGAATGAACAGAGTGTCATTAATTTGAGGCCTTGTCCATGGTCACACACAGACATGGACATCCCCTTGGATGCAAATAAATATACTCCCAATGTGGGATGGCTGAAGGGACAATACATCCAAGCCGTCTCAGTCCCCATGGCTTGCTAGATCACAGTGATGCATCCTCAGATCACTTGCCAGGATGTCTTGTGCTGGTGACAGCAGTGGTGAATTGACACCTTCCTCAGCTAGGAGGTGAAGGATTCTCGGGGTTCCTCACATCCATCTCTAGGTGTGAAGAACCTGCAGAAGGTGCCACTAGCCTGCAGAAGACAGGATTTGGTGTTCCTGGAAGACATCTGCCCCTTGCATCTTCCAGGAACACATTTTGGTTTGAGCCCTGCTCCCCCCTTCCCAGAGGCCACACTCTTGCAAGGACTCCCTAGATACCTGGAGGGTCAGTTCTGCTGTGGAGCGGGAAAGGCTGGAGGCAGGGCAGCCTTGTGTCTAGAGCCCACGTGGGCTGCAGCATGAGGCAAGCAAAAGACATATGTGCAACCAACTGAACGACAGTGCAGCTAACACCAGCTCTGATGGGCTCAAGGTAAGTGCAGGCAGGGCTGAGTCAGGAACGGATCTCATCTTCAACTGGGCATCCCCACCACTGCAATTAAAACGGGCCCAGACAAAGCAGTGCAGACCCACCCCGACTGCTGGTTTGGGTTGCGTTCTGACTAACTCCTGAGTGCAATCCTTTCTCCCATAGATATGCTGCCAAACCAAGGCATGAGCATGTCTTCAAGGTCCCTGGGTCACACACAGCATGACCTTGGGGGTGAGACACTGGGGTGCAGAACTGCCGCAGGAGAGCTGGGAGCTGGGGAGAGGAACGCAGGGAGCAGAAGGGCCTGCTTCCTCCAGTGTGGCCTGCAGAAAGCCTCATGACCTGTGCAGTTGTGACATCTGGGGACAGCAGCCCGTTCAGACCCTTGGTTCATCTGGAGCGTCATCCCCAGGGCAGGCATGTGCTGACCACTTTGGCCAACCAATGTGACCCCCCCCACCTCCACCTGTGGCTCCTTCCCTGACACTGGATATTGCCAGGTGGTTTTTCTACCAGTAGACTGAGGGCTGCGGGAGCCCCAGCTGTTTAAGATAAAAATACAGCTGGGGATCTGCCACAGGGTCACTCTGGGGATCTGCCACAGGGCCACTCTGTGGGAATCTGCCGCAGGGCCACTCTGGGGATCTGCCACAGGGCCACTCAGTGGGGATCTGCTGCAGGGCCACTCAGTGGGGATCTGCCGCAGGGCCACTCTGGGGATCTGCCGCAGGGCCACTCAGTGGGGCAGTACACACGTTGTAGGGAAAAAAAAAAGTTCCTGAAAATTAAATTCCAAGAATTTGCCCCATTTAGGCTTTCTGGAAGCTTCTTCATTCCCTTTTCCATCACGCGCCCCTGGCTCTCTGTCAGGATGGGGGAAGAGGGAAACTGGGCAACAAGGAGAACTGGGGGATGAAGCCTGGTTTCGTTTCTGGGAGAAGGCCCTTGAGGGAAAGGTCTAAGGTATCGGTACAAGTAGCAGGGAGCTCTGATTACACTGATAATTTGGGGGCCAAAGTGAAAAGAGAGTATTTTTGTAGGGCAATAAGAAGCAGGGAATATGGGCTGGAGAGATGGCTCCGTGGTTAGGAGCACTATCAGCTCTTCCAGAGGACCGGGTTCAATTCCCAACACCCACATGGCAGCTCACAACTGTCTGTAACTCCAGCTCTGGGGATCTGACTCCCTCACATAGACACATATGCAGGCAAAACACCAATGCACATAAAACTAAAAAAATTAATCATAAGAAAAAGAAGCAGAAATTAAGAAGTTGGGACCATTTAGCGCACAATTAATTAGCAAGAACACTTGCCCAGGACTGGAAGTCAGATCTAGCTTGTGACACCCAGCTGCAATGTTTGTGCTGGAGATGTTAACTGGCATGTCACCCCAAGGGCTCCTTCTGCCACTCACATGGCCTACATTCTTCCCACGGAGGAATCACGGGCCCATTCAGGGAACCTGACGGCCACGTGAGGCCCTTGTGGGTGCTGGGAATGGGCTCTAGAACCTAACAGAGTTTCTGGCTGCCACTGGACTCCAGTTTCAAATCATCAGTCACTGAGGTCCCACCGGCAGCAAACTGGCCTGTCAGCAGGACAAGGTGTGCTATCGTTAGCACAGGACACACAAGAGCCACCTGAGCAAGGGGCAGGCCTCTGCTTCCACTGTTTCCTCCCCCCTCCCTCCCTTCCTCTCCCTAAGGGAGGGATGGGGATGCAGTCAGCAGCATCCACTGGGGCTCTGAGCCAGCACAGGGTGAATGCTTGCAAGGTCAGAGGTCCCCACAGCTGCGGGGACCTCACTTCACTGGGGAAGCATGCATGAAAGTGGACTTCAGGGAGGGAAGGCTGTGTCCCAGACACAAGTGACCATCCATCCCCCTCTCCCCAGGGACCTGGACACCCATCCACTCTTCCCAGCCTCAGATCCCCACTTCCTGACAGGCAGCAAGCTGACAGAGGTGTGTTCTTCACACTGTTATCAACGCAGCATAAGTGATTTGCAAGCAACAATTTTTTTAATGAAAAATAGAAAATTGAGGGTATCCCAGGTTCTAAGGCTGAGAACTCCTTCCTGAGACTCAAGACACCGATTATGTGACTGCTTGCTGTGGATGATGGACCACAGGGTCTGAAGAGCAGCAGCCTCGGTGGTCCTGACTCTGAGCATCACTCCTTCCTAACCCTGGGGCAGAAAGGGAAAGGGCATGCACAGGTGCATGCCAAGAACTCTGACAACGTCTCCCACCAACCTTTCCAACGGGGTTTTATTAGTGCTTGCTTCCGGAAAGGAAATCTTTGGTATTTCCCCACACTGGCCTCCCCTGTGCAACTCCCCACAGATAGAGTCGAGTCATTCTTCTGGGTAAGAACAGGACATTCTAAGCTCAGGCTGGGCAGTGACTCACTGTTATTCAGCATGGTGACACAAAGCCTGTTCACCCTCTCTCCCGGGGCATGCAAGGCCCCTTTCTCTCTGATTTTGAAACTTCAGAGGACTGAGTCCTTAAAGAACAGATGAGAACGCTAAGAAGCCAGAGAGGCAGAGCATAAAACAAAGAGATGATGTTTGGCACTAAACTTGCCTCCTGGATGGAATGTGAGTGGTGGCACGTGAGCTCCCCCACATGGCCAAAAGTGGAACCTCACTGCAACTACCTGTGATGCCAGCCACAAAAGTGAGCACCAGCCAGAAAAGGGCCCCAGGGCATTACACGTCCTTTCTGCCCAGGGTAGCTCTCTTGCAATAGAGGTGTTCTGTCAGTCTGGGTCACTGGAGGCCAGAGGAAGCAGAATTTTAACAAGAGTGCCTTTCATACAGAGCCCCAGCTCAGGCTACACTGTGCACACATCTCTAGTGAAAGCAAGGGTCCTTGCATGCACTGCCTGGGAGAAAGTACAGTCAAAAGTAGAGAAACAGCTTTCCTGATGCTCCTCACCAAATGAAAGCCCCTCTCTGGGAAAATTCCGAAAGACTGAGACTCTGTGTGACCGACAGAGCGTGACTGGGAGGCAGGGGCCATGGTAACCCTTCTATGCCCTGCCTTGTCCATGTGACTAAGCAGGAGGACAAAACAAAAGCTTCATGTGCCCTGAGAAGTTTGCTTTATGCTGTCGGCTTGCTTTTAAAAATAAAAATGCAGAGGCCCTGGAGGAGGCTGCAGTTAGGAGCAGTCTGTCCTGGTCCCAGTGGTACCAGGTTAGTGATGAAGAGAGGTGGAGACACCCGCAGAGTCAGCTGCCAGGCTTGGGGCCCCTAGAGAGGTAGTGTGATGAGGGCTAGCTGCAGCCTGCCCCCTAGTGCTGGGAATTGGCCACATACCCTCCAGGAAGAGGCTGTGAGCTGTAGTCATCTCCCCAGGAGCAGACAGAGCACCCTATCTAATAGATCAGAGACACCTGTGGCCCCGTGAGGGCAGAACAGATCTCAGTGGGGAAAGGGGAGCCCAGGTCTTTAGATGGGGGGGGGGGGGGGTGGCAAGGCAGTGTCTGTATCTGTCTCTCCTTTGTATATAGGGAGAGGCTGAGGGCAATGGGAATGCAGAGAACAGGGCTGTCAGGCACTGAGGAGGTAGAAGCTGCCTGAGCAAGGACCAGACGTCAGCTAGATGCACAGAGGGATGACGGGATTCCAGAAGAGGCAGGCTGCCCAGTGCAATCCCAGGATTGTGTCTACTCTTCTTGCCTGGCCCACTCACCAGGAGTCTGCATCCTTCTCTCCACCAACTCCGGCCCCTCTTCCTACAGAAACCGGTCCCAGGACCACCGGCCAGTCTGCACACACCACACTGGTTCTTTAACGTGCAGCCTCTCCCTGTCTTATTCTGCGTTGCAGACACTGATGAGTAACTGAGAGAGGCCTCAGAGTTTCCCTCCTGTCTGGGTTTCGAGGCATCTCCAAAGCAGAGGTCCGAGTTCTGCCTTGTTTTTGTGTCCAGGCACCATAATTACACAGAACCAGTGGGCCCAGGAAGCACGGCAGAATTTCGATCTCCCTTCTCTGGGGCCTGACTCTGGTACCAGGCTCGGGACAGCTGGGGCACATTGAGCGGGTGACAGAAAGTTCGATAGTGACTGAGACCAGGGTACGCCTGTCATCCCAGAAAGGCCTCGTAATCCATGTACCAAACCAGCTGTCCAGAAAGAGGCAGGACGCCGGAGATGGGCCACTTCTTGGGCTCATGGCCCACCCGGCTCACCAGCATGGTGATCTCACGCTTTGTCCTCCCCATGACCAGGACAGCTACCTTCTTGGCACGGTTGATGAGGGGCAGGCTGAGGCTCATGCGCTGGTATGGCCTGAAAGGGCTCTCCGTCAGCACCACCAGCTGATCTCCATCCAGGCCCGTGGGTGACTGTGGGAACAGGGAGGCTGTGTGCCCATCAGTGCCCATGCCCAGCAGCACCAGGTCAAAGCTGCTGTTGGCCACCAGGGCTGAGATGTCGCTGGCATAGGTCTGGGCCCCCTGGTCCTCTTCAGCACAAAGCCGCTGGTGCAGGTGCACCGGCATGGGGTGAATGTTGTAGTAGGGTACCCTAATGTGCTGCAGCAGATGAGCCTGCAGGCCCTGGAAGTTGGACTCTGGATCTGAGAGAGGGACGCAGCGCTCATCAACCAGCCAAAGGTGTGTGTGGGCCCAGGGGAAGCTGTAATGCCCTGTGGCCAGCTGCTGGAAGAGGGCTATGGGGCTGGAACCCCCTGACAGTGCCAGGTGGAACTTGCCAAAGCGTCGTACGGACTGCACTGCGGTGGCTTCAATGTCACCGGCTAGCTTAGAGATCAGCTCCTCCGGCCAGGCAGTGATCAGTGGGCTCTCTCTGTACTGGGCCCTGAGGACCTGGAAGTCACTGGGCTTTGGGACTGACCCCAGCTCTGGCATCAACACCTCTAGCTGCTGCTGGGAGAAGGACAGCTGACCACCACTGAACTCAAAATCCAGCAGATGGCCATTCTCTGCTCCCCCGGGGTAAAGGCGTGGAACTTCGAGGGCCAGACTGTCCAGTAAGGGGGTCCAGAAGACCCAGGAGGCCAACAGGTTCTCTGTGGTGATGAAGGACTCCTTTCGGCAGTGGAAGATGTGAGACAAGAGGGTGGAGTAGGCATCTTGCTCCCGCACAGGTTTATAGGCATAGTAATCAGACAGAGGACGACCAAAAAGGCGGAGCCCAGGCTGGCCCTGCACCTCCGTCCAGCTCTGGGTGGGGACGTAGGGCTTGAACAGGTTCTGGCTGACCAGGATGGTGGGGTGGCCCAGCTCGCCATGTCCAATGTAGAAGATAATCTGCTGGGGCAGGCACCGGCTCTGCGCGGACGCCCAGTGCCTCTCGCTCTGGGTGCAGTATGCCCGGTTCTTAAACAAGATCCGAACGTAGCCCACTCTTTCGTCCAAGGCCTTGCCAGACATCAAGAGGAAAGGGACGCCCTCCCAGCGCAGGTTGTCGACGTGGACAAGGACACCTAAGGTGGAGAAAGAACAGACAGCGACACCGCAGCCTGCCGGCTGGCTCTGCAGCCACCCTGCACCCCGGGCCCCGCTCAGCCCGTCTCACTGTGCCTTCTGTTTCTCCTTCCCAGGCAGGGGTGGAAACAGCGAGCAAGGTGAACGCTATGGCCATAACAGCAGCACTCTGAGGTCCCTCTGAGAGACCTGGTCTAAATGGGTTTGGAGTCTGCCGTGGAAGGATCTCGTGGGGCAAAAGGGGTAGGAGGCATGTTGGATCCTGAGGGATAAGGGCAGTGTCCCGAGGCAGCGTCTCTTTGTGTGAAGCCCCCAGAATGCCAAAACAAAGTCAAGCGTGAGTGGAAGCCAGGTGGGTGGGGGTAGGAGTCTATGGAGTAGGAGGAATGTGTGCATGTGTGTGCGAGCCCCAGTCACAGACGCAGGCGCTGACATACTACACACCAGTTCAAGCCTAGCTGAGATGCTGCCTTTTCGCCTTGTCTCCTCACCAACGAGGACAATAACTGCAGCTGCCTGTGGGTGTGTGAGGACGGACTGAGAGGAGGTACATACGCTGCCCAGCACATCAGATGGCCTTTATATGCAGGGCTGTCTCACAGTCATGGGCTCTACCTGCTAGGATCCAGCTGCTCTCCCCAAAGGCTTCTGGAACTTTCCAGGTGGATCTAGCAACTATCTGCTGGCCAATGTGGTGTCTGTCCACAGGGACATTCCTTGGCTGTGGCTGGACTGAGGTTTGCCATATTATGGAAGTCATATACACACCCCACGAAGGTGGCACCTATCTCAATCCCACAGGCATGCCCTCAGGAGACCTTTCTGGAACTGAATGGAGGCTGCTGTAGGTGACCTGCAGCTTTAAAATGGCAGAAGGCCTAGGGGGTGGTGATCACAATGTACTGCACCCTCTTGTAAAGATTCTTTGGAGTCCAAGCTACCACGCTCCAAAGGGCACTGGCTGGAACAGCTGCTTCCAGCTGCCGGTGGCCCCACAGCTGCCGGCTCTGGTGCCTACCTGCAAAGGTTGGTGTCAGGCTCTGGAAACCGTCTGGCTTCTGCAGCTCTTGACGCACCTGCCCACTATAGGCCTGGTACTGGCCCAGGATGGCACTGGTCTTCTGCAGCCCCCGCAGGGCCTGGAAGGTCTGGAGCTTATGCTGTAGCACGGCGGCTGAGCTGTTGATGTTCTGGGGCAGTTCCATGGCCACCAGCGTGAGGATCTCCGTCAGGTGGTTCTGCAGTGTGTCACGGATGACACCGTACTCCTCATAGAAACTGGCTCGGCCTGAGCGACAGGGGGGCTGTCAGAAGGGTCCCCGAGGCGGTAAGACACTACCCATCACTTGTCCTGGCATCCTTATCCTTCATCCAGAGAACCCATGACAAGGAGGGTCACTGCAAACCTCGACATGAGACAGGAAAGGGGACGTTGGGGCAGCCTCCCTCCATCAAGAACGACTCTAGAGAAGGGATCATTCCACTGGGCCTGTTCAGGAATTGTCTTGGGAAGGTTCTAGTCTCAGGGCTAGGCAGAAACATCTGTTGAGCTTGGCTAGCCTCCCTGCCTGCCCTCCTTCCCTGGGCACTGGCCGGGCGAGGGTGGGGGGAAAGAGAGGGGGTAACCTAGCCAGGGCGAGAGGAGGGAGGATGGCTGAGAAAGGACTGGGTGTTGACTCTGACAGCCACCTCCTACTGTGAGCTGCTTAGATGTGCATCCGACCACTGGACAGAACCAAACACACACACACACACACACACACACACACACACACACACACACACACACACACACGACCCACTGCAAGAGCACACTTAGCCAGGGTACACGGAAATGGGAAGGAGAGATAGGGGGAAGGAGACAAAGGAAATAAAACTGTGAGCTGTGACAGAGGGTCATGGGAGGCTCCTCTGAGATGAGAGCATTTCAGGTGAAGGAACCCTGATGTGCACAGCCCTGGGGCAGGAGAGACGGGGCCTGCTGGGGCTGGACAGAGAAGTAGCAAGGAGACAGTGGAGACGAGGCTGGAGGGGAGTTGAGGTCCTGTGGGATGAGGTAATGAATGGTACAGTGCTCTGGACTCCAAGGGAAGCCCCTGGATGGCCCCATTGGAGCAGCCCTGAGGTACACCGAGAGCAGGGCCCTGGCCTGCTGTGTGGCGAGGCTGTGGAGGCAGGAAGAGATGGAAGGGGTGACCAGGCTCCCGCTAGAGCAGTGGCCGAGGAGCGAGAGTCATTTCTGCCTGGAATTGACTGGACTTGCCACAGAAGAGGACAGTGTGAGTGAAGGGAGAGGGGAGGAGGCAAAGGCGGATCCTCAACCTGGGCCTGAGCAACAGGGTGGCCGGTGGTAACACTCACAGAGTGGGAGGGCAGGACAGGGACAAGCGGAAGGAAACCATGCACGTGTCTCATGTGTCAGCATCCAGGTGGAGACAGACGGCTGGCTGACAGGTGGGAAGGGCCACAGTGAAGGTCAGGGGTCGTGCCTAGAACATGGAGCCCAAAGCTTGCCACCTGTGACCTGGTACAGCACCGAACACCTGACATATGTCACTCTTGTACCACAAAGTCCCCACGAGGCAAGTACATACTTACCCCTGCTCTACATGGGAAGGGATCATGTGACCGGGGCTAGGGGAGCCCTCCTTCCTAGACTAAGGTATGTGAGTTCTGATTACCCCTGACTTCAACACAGACACAAGCATCGAAGCACAGGGTTCAGATCTACTGCTACCCTCATCACAGCCTTGGGTATCCCAGCTTGCCAACACCCAGTCCCTCACCACCTCACTCACAGAGCAAACCTGAAAGCCTGGCACAGAGCGCAACTGCTTACCAAATGCTTTGCCGCACACACTGCTGTGCAGCTAACTGATTCCTATGTATTCTGAGCACCGAGGGGCGTGGGCCTCCAATACTGCAGGCCTGCCTTCTCCAGCCCACTCGATGCTGGCCATTCACGTCTGCATATGAGGCCCACGGTGCGGACTTGCTGCTTAAGGTACTGCCACTTTCACACAGTAGGCAGCAAAAGGAATGAATGCACACACATCCTGGCACACACGTCCTGGCACACACATCCTGGCACACACATCCTGGCACACACATCCTGGCACACACATCCTGGCACACACATCCTGGCACACACATCCTGACACAGGACATCACAAGGAGACAGAACTGCTTGGATCAAGTAGGAACTTATTCGAGGAGGGTACAGGGGCTGAAAAGATAGGTCAGTAGTTAAGAGTACTTCCTGCTCTTACAGAGGACCAGAGTTCAGTTCCTGAAGGCTACATCAGTCAGCTCACAACTGCCTGTGACTCCAGCTCCAGGGGATCTGACACCCTCTTCTGGCCTCTGAGGGTACCAGAACACACATGTGCTAACAAAGATGTTGAGTGCAAACACATGCACACACACAAAGAAAAGTAAAGTCATAATAAATAAACAAATAGGCCAGAAACTGGCCCACATGAACAGGATTTCAATTAGTAACCATCACTGAAGTTGGCAATTCAGTAGGGGTGGTTACAGATCAGAAGGCGCCGGGGGAGTCGGAGTAGAGAAGACCCCTGAGCTCGCAGAGGGAGGCCGGCTGACGAGGTGAAAGGACGGCTGGAGGAGCTCGGCAGCAGAACCTCACCTAGCCCACATGTGGCCCTGGGCTCCAACCGCAGCACCACAAAAAAAGAAACAGGCAAACCAAAAGCTGCTGTACAGTGTGTGGCTCCTCACTAAAGTTTAACAAGCATTCTTTAAGGACACAGACATACATGACAGCAGTAAAGAGAACCAGGCGTGGCTGACACGACCCAGTCAGCCACATTCCCGTCCTGTGCACATGAAGCTCTCAGGTCAGAGTCCTGTCACCCGAATAAGAACCTGGGTGTGGTGGTGCACATCTGCAACCCCAGCCCTGAGGAGGTGGAGACAGGGGAGCCCCAGTAACAGCTGGCTGGTCACAGAGAGACCCTAAGTCAAAATAAACAATGTGGAGACTGATTGAGGAAGACACTTGGCTCCCCACAAGCCCACATATGTGTACACACACGTACATACAAAAGTGCACAAACATACACACTGAAGTAAGCATGCTCAAAATTGAGAACAGAGGGTAGGAAACAGGACAGAGTCCAAGGAGACACACACAGAGCTCTTCAGGTGCTTTAATAACTGCAGAGGGGGCGAGGATGACCATGGGCAGAGGTGTCTGCAAACAAGGCTGACGACCGAAACCCGAGGTCCCACAGATGGAAAGAGGAACCGGCTCCCACCGGTTATCATCCAACCTCCACGGTGTGCCATGGTGTGCACACGCCCATACATGCACATCAATAATAAGTAAATAAGTGCACTAAAGGGTTTTTGAAGTGTGGCACAGTGGCAGAATGTTTATTATGCTTGAGGCTCTGGGCTCATTGGGGGGGATAAAAAATTTGAATTAAAACCTGTTTGCATTTCTTATTACATAGTTATATTCACCTTGCATGTGTTTTCTAAGCATTATTTTTCCTGGAATCTAGTTAATATTTAATCCAAACAGATAAAAGGGAGGCAAGCCTGGCTTAGACGTAGGAAGCTAAGCATGTTCTGAGCAGGCACCCTGAGTCTTCAGAGCCTGCCGTGCTGGAGACACATGGTAACATGGAAATAATAAAATGTAAAAGGCAGTTGGGGGCTAGAGAGATGGGTCAGTGGTTAAGAGTACTTGCCACTTTTCCAGAAGAACTGAGTTCGGTTCCCAACACCCTCAACTACCTGAACTCCAGCTCCAGGGGATTTGATGCCCTCTTCTGGGCTCCACAGGTACTGCACACACACACACACACACACACACACACACACACACACACACACACACACACACACACACAATTAAAAGCAAAAATAGAGACAAGCAGTGGTGGCCCACACCTTTAATTCCAGCACTTGGAAGGCAAACTTCTGTGATCTTGAGGTCTACATAGTGAGTTCCAGGACAGCCAGTGCTACATAGTGAGACCCTGTCTCAAAAAAATTAAAAAAATAAAAATAAAAATAAATAAAAAGAGTTCTTTAAAAAGATATATATTTTTAAAAATGGTAGGGAGCTGGAGATGGCTCAGCGTTTGTTGTTCTTACAGAGGACCAGGATTCAGTTCCCAGCACCCACATGGTGGCTCACACCATCCCTAATTCCAGTTTCAGGGAATCTTACACCCTCTTCTGACACCCACAGGCAGCAGGCACTGGTGTGACGCACAGGCATATATTCAAGCAAGATGCTTATACACAAAAAATAGAAACAAATACTTTTTTTAAAAAGGTAGTTGGCATTTTATGAGAAAGGTGCAAGGACACCATTTAAAACCTGCTGATTCTGACGAGCGCAGACGTGACATCTGGTGGTCATCCCTGAAAGGTCACTGGAGGTACAAGGTGAGGCAACAATGAACTTCACCGAGCCTGAGATTCGAACCTGGCTAATTATAGTCACAGGAAGAAGCTGGGTGCTAGCTCAGCCTGGCACCCTCGATGGCAAATCCAGCTTCAGGGATACTCAAACATGAAAACCCATACCCGATAAAAATCAATGAATTAGAGCAGATTTAAGCAAAGAGAGGATGGTTACGGCTTTAAGAACAGATGAATTTTTGATGGAGAGAGAGCACCAGAGTCCTTAAAAGCCCGCTATGTGCTTACTATTCATTAATTTCCTAAATCCCCGAGTGGCCCCTTTCCTATTTTTATCCACCGGCTTCTTGATTCTGGGGAGATTGGATGCCTGGGGTTTACTACCTGCTGAGTGGAAGAGAGCTGTCTTTATTTCTTCACTTCAGGCTCAGGGGTGTGCCTGTGTTTAGCACAAGCCATGGATTTCTGGTCTCTGCTCTCCACCTGGTCATCTGTGAAGGACCAGGGCTGTGGCCTGGGCCACATGTGAAGGAGGAAGAGACTGTGCAGGGGCTCAGGCGCTGAGCGGCAGGTGGGAAGCCAGGCGCTGGCGCTCCTGTGGGACTCAATGTGCTGACTAGTCCGGGAACTGCCAGTTGTCAGGAACCCAATCTGTTCCCTGAAGGGGTCTGTACTGGCTTTGCGCATCCTTTCCCAGGTTAAAGGTTGCCAGCTAAAATCTATAGTATTGGAAAGCGAAAGTGCAAGCAGTCTGGCCAACTCAAAGAAAGCCCCTGTGAACTCAGCTCCTGACTGCGAGTCCAGGGCAGATCGCGGCTTTGCCCTGGCATCCTGTCGGTCTAAGGAATGGAGGACAGCTCGAAACTGCCTCCCATCTCTGGCCCAGGG